GGGCAGAGAGTACAAGCCAATGGCACCGTTGGGGTCATCCACATTTTTGTTTTGTCTGGCATTTATGCCGGGGGGGGGACTGTGGCAAAAAGCGGGGGGGTAGACAGTGTATCAAATTGCCTCTCCTTCAGACAGCTCGTTTTGTTTGGCATGCTAGGTCGGGTTTTTGTCCTCGGGCACAGGGGCACGTTTGAGAGACGTTCAAGGCTGCCTTTGGGCCTAAGCAGCCCACATTCACATCGCGACGCTCTGCCACTCCCGGGCGTATGCCTGAGGCAGTGGCTTGGCCTCATTTGGGTCACCCCTAAACCGGGATCGTGGGTTTCCACAAGGTTTGATGTAAGGGTTTCGAGACATAATACATAAAGCGACGAGTGTGTCCAAGGGTGGTACTTGAAGTCGTCCTCACGGGTTGACAAGAATTCTAGACAAAAATAGAGTTACGATTAAGCACTAATCGGGCGGCACTTTGACCCCCTTGCTTGTAGCTGGAAGTCACTAGGCCTATTTGCAACCCTGTTGTTCCTATAGATCGGATTTCTGACGTCGGGATCACAGGGCTTTTGTTCAAGAATTGCCTAAGTTGCTTTTCAGATCCCAATTCCGGTGAAACAGCTGACACCGACCAGCCTGAAGACCCCCCACAGAGGAAATAAATCAGCATGAGAATGCTGTTTCCTCATCTCCCGGTCCCATGACTTAACCATTCTTCAGCCAATCAGCTAGGTCAACTATGCTCCAAAACCCTGAAGGACCCCAACCTAACTCCTTGGGAAGTCGGTGACCCTGGTATTAAACCTTTCTCTGCTGCATCGAGGTGTATTGCTTGGCCTGCTGACTCGCTGAGGGCATTGGGCAGTGAACCTGTGATGCTCGCATACTCAGTGCATATTTACTATGATTACTTCCTGTATCTTTGCCCAATTGAAATATCAATTGTTCTCCCGTGTGTGTGTGTGTGTGTGTGTGTGTGTGTGTGTGTGTGTGTGTGTGTGTGAGAGAG